ACAAAAAATACACCAAATTATTTTACAGGGTTAGCTTGAATTAAAAGCGTTAATTTCTGTTCATGTTAGTAATGAAAAAAGAAACAAAAGGGCTATGATTATAAAACCATACTTGAATTTATGAGATATAGTATACATTAATTGACTCACAGCAAGGATAGTTCTCCAGAAGAAAACAGCAACTGAAGCAATTCCCAAGAAGGCAGTAATAAGTACAGGTTTCCATGGCAGTCCATAAAAATCAGGCCCAGGCTGAACGTCATCAGGCAATGTAGAAACTATCTGAAAAGGGCATGTTAGAAATAATGAGAAACCTTAAAGAAACTTAACATAAAGCAGTCACAAAGACTCACCCATAGAAACTCTAAAACAACTCTGTCAGATACCTATCCACTCAAAAATCTTCTGTAGCTCTCACTGCTTCAAGAAAAATAGGACACTGGGAGTCTTATTCTCATTGTTTGGCTTGTAGTGTTTCGAAGTATTATGAGTTTAAATGTCTTTAGGTTGAGCATGTATTTCTAGTTTGCAATAGGCCCTGATACAGTATGTTATCTAAAACACGGCTAGAATCTCTCTGGATCATACTTTTCTCTTGAATAAGTTGGTTTTTGTTGCTTAAGAAAACACATAAGACAAAAAACCTTAGATATACAAGTGATCAACTTTTTATGGCTAAAAATAAAACCAATATTATGATAATGAATACCACAAAGAATGTGCTATTCCTCTAAGATTTACAATCTTAAATCAATTCTTACATAAACAACAAATGCTGAGTAAACTATGATAGCTCCTGATAACTGATCTACATAAACTGCTTTGAATTTAGTGTCTTAATTCTAAATGTTTCCTTGAAAGACAGTACATTAAACACCTGTCTGCTCTATGCTGTTTTCACGGCCCTCTACAAGCACACTATCATACTGGCCCCATCCCCCAACAGAGCCTGGGGGTTATAGTGAAAAGACCTGTAGGCTGTTTTGATCATGGCTGTACACAAGAACATAAAGTGCTGTCATTTCGTTAAGTACTCAATTAAAAAAAAAAAGTGAGAAACCTCAAACACACTTCCACCTGACTCCCTAAACAGCATAAAACGTCTTGCCTTCCTCGGATCTGACACTCCGTTTCTCCTTTGCATAGACAATCAGTGCACCCACTCTGCTTAGAATTCGTCCACCCGCCTGCCGAAGGTGGGGTCCCTCCCTGGGAATGGGGACCGTCACCTCCAGCAGCTTGGCTATGAAGGCTGCGTAGAGCACCGACAGGGGTCCCAGAAGTTCCGGGTCCCCCGGGGTAGCGGGGAGAGAAGATACAGTGGCAGGTAATGAGTCCATTGTGTAGAACAGCTGAACACAAGCGACACTTCCCTGCGGAATGGCACTGGGCCCCTGTGTTTCAGAGCTTCCTCCTTCGGAAAGGCCCCAACTCAGGGGACAGACACTGGGATTGAACTTCGCCTTCGCTGCCGGCACTTTCGCTTTAGGCCTCCTATAAAACACGTCATCAGCCACTGCCCCCTGGCGCACGCCACCGCACCTAAGGAGCCGGCCCTTGGCGACGGGGCTACAGTGGACGGAACCAACTGTCGAGGGGGGGGGGGAGCAAATAGAGCTGGAGCGGAAGAATCCAAGTAAAGAGAGGCGGGGGTGATTCGTGCTTCCGCCGGGAACCAGCGATTTAAAAAGCCCTGAACAAGGAGGCCAGGGAGCTACCCAGAGGAGGATTGTGGGCGGCAGCTGGGTAAATAGAGAAAGGCAGGCCTCTCGTGCCAGCCCGGAGCTGGCCCTTCCTGTCACAGCGCGGAAGGACCACCACTCAGATGTGGTGCCATTGCCCTGCGCGGTCTTTCTGCCCTGCCCACTCAGTCCTCTGCTTACTGTTCCGCCTCCAGGCCTCCTTTGCACACGCTCTCTTACATTCTTGCTGACACTCTATTAAAAAGCCTTACCCAGGAGTCATGGGTACCAAGCCTACCCCCCTCATGCACATGGGCAGTTATGGGTCCCACTTTTTATTTTGGACGGTAGCTGTGGGGAAGAGGAGGGAGTCTTCCTATGTTGCCCAGGCTGGACTCAAACTCTGGGGCTCAAGCCATCTGAGAAGCTGGGACTACAAATGGCTGGCCACATCTTAAGGTTATATGGCTTGTGGAAAAGGACAAGGATAATGAATAGTATGGAAATCACATTCCAAAAGTTGAAGAAACTTGGGGCATTTGATATGTGGGGGAAACAGATGATATCTGTAGATAAAGATACCATTCTTAGACTTTTAAAGGTCTATCTTTGGCCAGGCACGGTGGTTCACGCCTGTAATCCCAGCATTTTGGGAGGCCAAGGCAGGCGGATCACGAGGTCAAGAGATGGAGACCATCCTGACTAACATGGTGAAACCCCATCTCTACTAAAAATACAAAAATTAGCTTGGCATGGTGGCGGACGCCTATAGTCCCAGCTACTCTGGAGGCTGAGGCAGGAGAATCTCTTGAACCCAAGAGGAGGAGGTTGCAGTGAACAGAGATCGAGCCACTGCCCTCCAGCCTGGCAACAGAGCAAAAACTCCATCTCAAAACAAAACAAAACAAAAAGCCTAAAGTCAACTCAGAGGAACAATCCAGCAAGAAGAAACAGGAAAACCCTGAGAAAGAAGAGAAATGAAGGGTGCAATGTGAGAGGAGAGTGAGATCTATAATCATAGAATAGTACTGGCCCAATAATGCAGACAGATCACAGGGCAGAATAAAAAATCCAGAAATAGACCCAACTGCACTGGAAATTTGGGATACAGCAAGTCAGCTGGGGAAAAACAGAGTTTTTAATAAGTGGTATTACATATCTAGATAACAATGTGGAAAATGATAAAATTGGATCTTTTTCTTATCATTCATAAATTCCAAGTGAATCAGAAACCTGAATGTAAAAAATGAAAACAAGTAGTAGAAAAAATTGTGTGAATGTCTCTATGTATTATGTGAGTGGGGAAGACCTTCCTCATTATGTATCAAAATCTAAAAGCAACAAAGGAAAAGATTTGTAAATTTGGTTACAGAAAAACAAAAAAAATTACCCAATCCCAATCCACAAAAATTGCAAAATAAGCAGAGTTGGCAATGATAACCTAAAAAAAAATATTTGTAACATATTTTGAAGGATTAATATTCCTAACATATAAAGTGCTTTATAAATAAGAAGATGGTGGTCAGCAAACCTAGAGAAACATGGGCTGAGGAAATAAGCAGATCCCACGAAAAGAAATGCAAATAATTAAAAAACATAGAAACGTGCTCTGCCTCACTCATAATAAAAGAAATACAAATTGAACCTTACAATGAAATATGATTTCTCACTTATCTTGGCAAGATCCAAACATTTGACAACACACTCTGTAGGTGAGAGAATGTGGAGGAAGCAGGCACTCTCATTCTCTGCTGATTTTTATATAAAATCATACAACCCCTATGATTTGGCAACGTCTCCCAAAATAACTTGTTTATTTACCTACTGACTCAACAACCCCACTTCTAAAGATCTATCTCAAAGATACTGGGGATCTAACAATAAATGCTGGAAAAAATATATGCACAAAACTATATTATTCGAGCATTACTTATAACAAAAGACTGGAAACAACCAAAATGGTCATCAATGAAAGACATATTGAATACAATGAAGTCTACTGTGAAGCTATAAAAGAAAATAATTTTATATGCTGCTAGGGTATGGCATCAGAATACATTTTTTAAAAAGGTAAAATAGAGGTCTGTCTTCAAGTTGAATAAGTCTACATTTATCTAAGAAAGTAAGGATTTTTTTCTTTACAGCATTGAAGGAAATATGACATTCAGTAAGTTATGTGTATTTAAAGTGCACAGTTTGATCATTTTGGCATATGAACACACCTGTGAAACCATCATCACAACCAACATACTGAACCTCCCAAAAGTCTCCTTTATTCCCTTTGTAATCTCCTGCTCCTTTTCACCCTTCCCTGCCCCCCCAAGCAGAATTTCTGTTCTAGTAGATTAGTTTGCATTTCATAAAGTTGGATATGTATGTAATAATGCATGATTATATTTTCTCTAGCTTCTCTCATTCAACATAATTTGAGGTTCACCCACATTGCTACACGTATCTATAATGGTTCACTTATTTTTATTGCTGAGTAGTATTTCACTGCATGGGTGTACCACAATCTGTTTATCTGTCACCTATGGATGGATACTTGTTTTTTCCCAGTTTTAGGCTTTTATAAATAAAACTGCCAAGGCTATCACGAAGATGAATCTGCTGCAGCTAGAAATGCTCAAGAACCAGCTGGACCAGGAAGTGGAGTTCTTGTCCATGTCCACTGCTCAGCCCAAGGTGGTACGGACCAAGTATGTAGAAGCCACAGACTAAACATGCTGAATAAGAGCAACGAGGGAAGAGAATTACTCATCCCATTGACAAGTTCTATGTATGTCCCTGAGAAGCTGCATGATGTGGAATATGTACTCATGGATGTGGGAGCTGTGTACCATGTAGAGAAGATAGCTGAGGATGCCAAGGACTTCTTCAAGAGGAAGACAGACTTCCTAACCAAGCAGATGAAGAAAATTCAGCCAGCTCTCCAGGAGAAGCACGCCATGAAACAGGCTGTCATGGAAATGATGAGCCAGAAGATTCAGCAGATCACAGCCCCGGGGGCAGGGAGTGATCTCAACAAACTCTACTGCTAAGGCCTGAGAGTTTGTTGCAGAAATGGAGCAAAGGGACATCCTTTGGGCGTGGTTTCCTGATGCCAGCGAAGGGAAGGGTCTTATGTTTAATGCCAATAAATGTGCCAAAATAAACTGTCAAGAAAATCGATCTACAAGTCTTTCTATGCATGTATAATTTATTTTCACTCGGGTAACTCTCTCTTGGGTAAATGTTTAGGAGACGAATGGCTAGATCACATGACCAGTATAGGTTTATCTTCTTAAGAAGCTAACAAGCTGTAGGCCGGGCGCGGTGGCTCAAGCCTGTAATCCCAGCACTTTGGGAAGCTGAGGCGGGTGGATCACAAGGTCAAGAGATCAAGACCATCCTGGTCAACATGGTGAAACCCCGTCTCTATTAAAACTACAAAAAATTAGCTGGGCATGGTGGCACATGCCTGTAGTCCCAGCTACTCAGGAGGCTGAGGCAGGAGAATTGCCTGAACCCAGGAGGCGGAGGTTGCGGTGAGCCGAGATCGCGCCATTGCACTCCAGCCTGGGAGTGTTTTAGTGTGCTTACTTGCAATCAGTATATCTT